TCGTCACATCTTGTCTGAATTCAGTATTTTCGTATTTGAAATCGTTCGTCCTTCTATAATAATATGATTACCCAGTCATACAATAAAAAATTGTGCACTTTTTAAATATATAACTTTATTAAATATTTAAAATATATATATATATATATATATATATATATATATATATATATGGAAATTGAACCCAGGATAGATTTTAATTAATATAAATTATTATAATTATAATAACTTATCTTATTTTTTTGCTTAGTTTGTAGTTTATTTACCTGCCATAATCATATGTTGTATATAAACAGAGGACGATGTAGATGTAAGTGGTGGTCAACCGTAAGAGTATCACTTATCACTTTGAAGTTTTGTTTCACCTTTCGTATATATTTATATTTTGATGTACTTATCTTAATGTAAATATTTTTATTTTGCAAAATAGTCTTAATGATACTTTGAAAAACACTAGAGAACTATAAATACAATATGTATATTAAATGAAATATTTGTGTTTAATCTCTTAATTGTAATGCTCTAAGCGGAATATTCTTTTGATTTCCAAAATTTATTTTCTTTTTTGGTTTCTCATGTGACAAATTAAAAGTTGTGATAGTGGTGGTAGTGGTGACTGGGAAATGTATGTATTTCTAATTTATTTTCAACTCATGAGTTGAAAATATCTTTTGAATTGTTTTTTATTTTATTTTTTATTACAAAGTATTTGATTGATTGTTTATTCTATAAAATAAAAAGAGGGAAAGTTTAATAATACTTTATTACATTTTTAGAAATTCAAAATAATACTGTTTTATCTAAACACCATTACAGTTTTATTTAAAAAAGTAACAGAAAATAACTACTAAATTAGCTAAAAAATATATTTTAACTGAATTAATTATTTAAATCTTAATAAAATATTTGATTGTTTAGTCTTGTTCTATAACTAATGAAAGTAAAATTAAGTTTTCTGAATATTTGATTGAGTAAATTAATTATTTTCTGAATATTTTAGTACAATCATGGACAAATTTTAAAGTCTAAATTAAAACAATGAATAGATACAATGTTTAATATTATCATTAATACAATATATTTTTACTTTTTAATTAAATTTATAATTATTATATATGTTATTTATTAACTAAATACAATAAATAAATAAATATATATATATATATATATATATATATATATATATATATGTGCGCGCGCGTGTGTTATATTTATTTGACAAGTGTTGATTTTGTAGGTTGATAGAATTCATTATCGAACAGGAATGTGCATGGAATAATAACACTATTTAATTAATCACAATAGTATTTAATTAATCGCAATATTTATTTTATTATAATATAATATTTAATTAAATTTATTTTCAACCAATGACATTGCATTTTAAATTAATTAAACCTATTAATTTTTTATTAAAAAAAGTAATCATCCAAAATTTTAAATTATTTTTAAATAATAACATTTTATTTTATATTAATTTAAATTATAATTGTAATTTTACATTTTAATTCATTATAAAATATATTTATCATATCCATTACATCATTCGTTTACTTTTATAAACTTTTTCTTTTAAGTCTCTTCATTTTCACTTATCTATCTCTTAAAACAAGTAATATTATAATATATTCTTTTATATCAACTTGATTCGTTCACTTTCTCTTAAATCAAATTGATTTACTTACTCTTTTTCAAATCCATCTTTTGAAGTAAACAAAATTATAAAGACATTAGAATAAACAATATCAATATAATTTCAAGATCCCAAAGAAAGAAATAAGTTTGTCCATCTTTAAATGGTGAAGGAAAATGTTCACTTTACTTCTTAGCATTTGCATGAGTGATTAAATCATATCAACTAAACTTTCCAAGCAATCATATATCAACCAATAATAGTCAAATTTACATCTATACTTTCAAACATAATTATACAAAATTTTAATTATTAACTATAGAAATAATGAAAATTAATTTTAGTAGAACCAAAGCAACAAAACAAAGCTCCAAAAGGTTGTTTTATTAGATTTACCATAGGAAGGGATGACACGTAGTTCTATTTGAATTTGTTAAGGTTGGAAGTGTTTGTGACGGACATGAAAGAGAAGAAAGAGTCATGATCAAATGTGGAGAGAAGAAGTATAGAGTGAATGTGTCATGTTTTAGGTTGAGGTGAAGTTAGAGATATGGTGGAGTAGATCCTAAGTCGTAAATTTAAGGTAACATGTTGAATTTATAGTGACGTGATTTCGTATTTTAAACAAAATCAATATAAATCTTATGTAAGAGATCACATTAACTCAATTTAACTAAATGACAGATTGAAATGAAAAAAAAAAGGTTTAATACATTATTTGGTCTTTAGTTTTGGGCTTTTTGTTCAAAGTCATCATACCTTTTAAAAAAGTTCAGTAAGACCCCATATTTCATTGAAAACGGTTCAAAATTGTCATTTTGGTTTACGGCGTTAAAAACATAATGGTGCAATTGCCTCTGTAACGAAAATTGAATGATGAGTACAATTTTTGATTGTGTGGCAAGGTGAGGTGAATTAAGTTGGCAAGGTATGTGGAAATGTTATAGGTAAAATAAAAGGGTTAGAGTTTGTGCAAAATCACGTGTAAAATCAGAAGCCCCAATTACAATTTTCAAAATCAGAATCTCAATTCACAGTTCACAAAATCATGTGCAAAATCATAAACCCTTATTGCCAATTTGCAATTCACAAAAAATCAGAAACCCCATCTCTCCCAACATTTCGGCAACCATCACCTCATTGTTGTCTTCTTCGCCTCAAACACCCACAATCAGGAAAAACTCATTCAAAGAGAAGGAAGAAGGTTGAACAATAATTGAGAAAAAGGGTCAGTGATAATGTTGGTGGAGCTCCTGGCCAACGACGTGCCTTGGAAAAGATGCAGCAACGCCGACGATCACGTCTGGTTCCAACGCTAACGACAAGGTGAGAAAAGTGCAGTCGTGGGTGAAGGTGGTGTTGTACTGGCCTCATGCAAAGAAGATGGAGGTGGGTGTGGTAGGTTTCCTTCTTTCTTTTGTAGTGGCTGAATTGAAAAAACGAACCAAGAAAGAGAGATTATGAATGCTAAAACGGGTTGTTGGTAGGCGGGATTCTTCCAATTGCACCTTCAACGAATCATGACCCCAAATTGAAGATCACTTTCACCAGATTCTTGAACCCCAAATCGTGAATGAATTCTAACCAAAAATATAATTTTATTTAACCCTCAGTTAAACTTTTTCCACATCATTCAATTTTATTTTTGAAATGTTCACCTTAAAATATATAAAACATGTCGGGTATTGCAAAATTGTACACATCATTTATTTTTGGCCACGAAGACAATTGTATCGTTAAGTTTTTAACACTGTAAGCAAAAAGGACCATTTTGAATAGTTTTTAATGAAATATGGGGCCTTACTGGTCTTTTTTAAAAGGTAGAACAACTTTGAACAAAAAAGCCCAAAAGTAGTGATGTCAAAATAGGTTGTAATCTGCAAGTCAATCCGGCTCACAACGGATTTGAGCCGGGTTGGGTTCAAAAAAAATGTAATTATTTTATGCGGGTTAGTTTTCAACCCGGCTCACCCGGGTTGAACTCACCAACCCACCTAATTTAATTTAATTATTTATTATTTTTGTGTTTCAATATTATTAGTTGACATTTTTTTATTATATTGTAGATGAGATAAAAAAAAAGATGTTTCAAGAGAGAAAAATATTATAGATTTATCTATTCAAAACTCTAATATTATAGATGGACAAGTGATACAAAATTTATCAATATTAAAAACTTATTTGTTCGTCTTTTGTGCTTGTTTTTGGATTACGCTTGAATTGTATATATTTTTTTAATTGTCTTTGAAGTTTAACATCATTTTAGAGGAAAAATTATTTAGATTTGAATTAAAAAAATTATATATTTTTTATTTTAAAAAAAACTTATAATTAGATGAGTCAGTGAGCCAACCCGTTTAACCCACCAATCTGTGGAGGATTGAGGTGGGTTCGAATTTTTTTCAGCTCGCTAATAAGTGAGTCGGGTTAGGTTGATTCACTAAGTGACTAACCTGTGGTGGGCCAGACTAGGTCGAGTCGGGTTATCTGTTTTGACCGCTCTACCCAAAAATAGGAACCAAATTATGTATTAAACCCAAAAATAATAATTAAATTACATTAAAAAAATTAACCAAATATTAAGACAAAATGACCTATTTAACCAAATTTTTAAAATCAAAAGACTAGTTATTTTTTAACTCAACTTCTAGTCTTGTATAAACATACGATCATGCAAACAATCATAATAGTTAGATTTTCAACACAATAACGAGCACAATAGTAAACTATAAAAGATAAATTAATTATGTATATATACAATTAATATATGTATACTAGAGCAAATATATTTCTACTAATAACATTCATATTATAAGCAAATACATCATTTCAATGATACTTTTTAACCCACATTATTCTATGATCTATATTACAAAGAATATTCGTTAGGGAATGAATCTGTATTAAGTAGGTTGTATAAGAGGCTGATTTGATTAGTTATGATCCATTTAAACACTTATCTATCATCATACAATGTTTTTTTGAGTCATTTATAAATATAAATACAATATTTATAGATTTAGAATATAATTTAAAAGCATGACGAATTACCCCAGAAACAAATGTACTTATTTTGGTCATAAAATTTTATTGTTTTGTAGTTATTTCAACTTACTAAAACACAAACAAGTAAAACGTAAATATTGTGGTGGCTGTGTTCTGCATTTGGTTTCGTTAGGGTCAATGTTACTTTTTCATTCCCTTTATTACACAAATTGGGATAGACGAAAATATGCTGTGATGATAAATTTTGTAATTAAGAATTTTAGATATACGCATTTAAATGTTACAATTGTAAATAAAATGAAAAGCTATATTTAAAGTTGAATTCGTGGGAATTAGCATTCACAAGAAAAGGTTCAGAAAGTGGACAAAATATATATGGCCATTAAGTAGGGAACATGAACAGTCGAAGCATAAAAGGAATGCATCCAAATAAAACAACTGAAAACCAACACGAGAAAATACGTAAAAGAATCTGAAGTAGATTCTAGTACTCCTCTTCCTCCTCGACGCCCTCACCTGACTCAGCACCCACTTCCTCGTAATCCTTCTCGAGAGCAGCGAGGTCCTCACGAGCTTCTGAAAACTCACCTTCTTCCATACCCTCACCCACGTACCAGTGAACAAAGGCACGTTTGGCATACATGAGATCAAACTTGTGGTCAATGCGACCAAATACCTCCGCCACACTGGTGGAGTTCGAAATCATGCATACTGCTCTCTGCACCTTAGCAAGGTCACCTCCAGGGACAACGGTAGGTGGCTGGTAATTGATACCACACTTGAAACCAGTAGGACACCAATCCACAAACTGAATGGTCCTCTTCGTCTTGATGGTCGCAACAGCGGCGTTCACATCTTTAGGCACAACATCACCACGGTACATCAGGCAACAGGCCATGTATTTTCCATGGCGAGGATCACACTTAGCCATCATGGAAGATGGCTCAAAAGCACTGTTGGTAATTTCAGCCACTGAAAGCTGTTCATGGTAAGCCTTCTCGGCAGAGATAACTGGGGCATAGGAGGAAAGCATGAAGTGGATTCTGGGATATGGGACCAAGTTGGTCTGGAATTCAGTCACATCCACATTCAGGGCACCATCAAATCTCAGGGAAGCAGTCAGAGAAGAAATCACCTAATCCAACAGAGAAAAAAAAAATTCAATCAATCCACAGATTTAGTAATAATCACAATTAATCTCATTAATATGCAAATTATTACCTGAGAAACAAGACGGTTGAGATTAGTGTATGTGGGCCGCTCGATGTCAAGGGAGCGCCTGCAGATGTCATAAATGGCCTCATTGTCCAAAAGCACTGCTACATCAGTGTGCTCCAAGAGAGAGTGAGTGGAGAGGACACTGTTGTATGGCTCAACAACAGAGGTGGAGACCTGAGGAGAGGGGTAGACAGTGAATCCAAGTTTGGATTTCTTGCCATAATCGACAGAGAGACGCTCCAACAGAAGAGAACCAAGACCAGAACCAGTTCCTCCACCAACAGCATTGAAAACCAGGAAACCCTGGAGACCAGTGCAGTTGTCAGCAAGCTTTCGGATGCGGTCCAAGCACAGATCAACGATCTCTTTCCCAACTAAAATAGAGTACAAACAACAAATATAACAATAAGTGTAAAAAATTATAATACCCTTAAACAATATTACAAAAGTTAACATAGTTGGGACTCACTGGTATAATGGCCACGGGCAAAGTTGTTGGCGGCATCTTCTTTGCCGCTAATGAGCTGCTCTGGGTGGAAAAGCTGGCGGTAAGCTCCAGTCCTAACCTCATCAATCACAGTGGGCTCAAGATCCACAAAGACGGCACGTGGAACATGCTTTCCAGCACCTGTTTCGCTGAAGAAAGTGTTGAAAGCATCGTCACCACCACCAACTGTTTTGTCACTTGGCATTTGACCATCGGGCTGCATAAAAATCATGAATATCAGCTCTCTGTATTACCTTTAACAATATTTACTCTTCATAATTCCACAATTAAGGAGATTTCATACAATAGTTAAAAACTGTCAATAACAGGAGCTAACGGTTGAAACCAGAAACACGAACACTACATCTAACGGCTAAAAGAACTATCTAATCAGAATGGCTTGCAAGCTTCAAGTGTAGATCTGACAATCGAGAGTGAGATCCCATTATGATTTGAAATAACATGCTTTAAAAGGTCATATTACTAGTAATATAGATCTGCGGCCTAATTAGAGAATGCAATTGCAAAACGGATCTGGCAAAATAAACTATTGTAACACAAAAACAAAAGAGATCTGGCAAAATAATAAAAACGAAGTTTAAATAAAGTACGGATCAAAGAGAAATAAATAACGGAAATATGGAAGAAAAAAAGAAAATGCTAGAATTTCCTTAGATCTGAGAAACGGATATTCGTATCAAGAGCGTAAGCATGTTGAGATGGATGACTTACCCCGATGCCGTGCTCGAGACAGTAGAGCTCCCAGCAAGCATTTCCGACCTGGATACCGGCCTGACCAATGTGAATTGAGATGCACTCTCTCATTTTCGCAGATTAAAAAAAGCGAATTTGAAACGGGAAAATAGGAACGTAGAGAGGAAGAAGAAACGGAGAAGAAAGGCGTTTATGAAGACGCCTTCTTTGAATCTAGATGCAAGGGAAGTTTGGGGATTCATATTCCATTTATAGGGAGATAGGTGGGGCTGCTAAGCTGTCATTGTCTCTAACCATGGTTGGTTCACGGTGCGCTAGCAAGAGTTGAGCTGTCTGCATCCCATGTAACCCAACTTCGTAACCACAGTAGTTAGTTCCAATCCTTTTCATTTTTTGAAATTTAAATTCTTTTTTGCCGCCCGAGGCCAGTCCAAAATTGCCGTTTTTACTTGAATGAGTTTAATAGAGAACAACGGTAAGATTGGGGCATGTCCCTGCTATTCCATTTTTCAATGGACTAAAGTTATAACTTATTTAGTTAAAGAAAAATTATGAGAAACTAAAGTTATACATTACATTTTATGTTTGTGCACGTGCTTTCTTTTATTTAATTAACCCCTACATTCTATTTGAACTTCAGTTAACAAATTCATTTACAAAAGATCTTTCATTTGAATGATTTCATAGTCTCACATACAAGGTGAGAATGATAAATATTCATTGACCCTTGAAGGGAAGATTATTAATTAGATTTTAAATACAATATTAAAAAGTTGTTGTTAAAATATTCTGAAGATCTATTGTAATTACTACTTTAGGACTGGAGTTCTTTATATACAAGAGTGAATATTAAATAAAAATCTTCTTTCTCTTATATTAACTATTTTCAGGATATATCTTTATATAATGGTGTAGATGAAATAATATACTATAAAAAATTATATTTATAATATATATATATATATAATATTAATATAACAAAACATATTTATTTCCTTATTACAGAATTGAATTGAATTTATTAAACTTGTTGAACCCAATTCTAATTGAGTTTTTTCTTCCTTCACCCCAATAATTTATAGTGACATCCCATTATTTTTAAAATTACCATTTACCCTTCTTAAAACAAAAGTTTTGGAACGTTTGGAACAAAATTTTCAAAATACATGAACAGAATTTTGAGATTAAGTTCCAAAGCTTTCTAAGAATCTTTTTTAAATACATTATGAAATAAGCTTTCTAGAACAGCAATTTTTTTTTTCTACGATGCGTTTCCTCTCTATTCTTCCTCAGCAGCAATGTCACAGTGTGGTGCAACAATAAAGGGTATTTTAGTCTTTTTTGTATGGCTGCAATTAGTCATAATGGTAATGTAGTTAATCATAACAGGGGTTCAGTTCGTCATAATATGGGGTGCAGGAAGAAAAAATACTTCTAATTGAATGGGTTAAAAAACTAAACCCACGTAAATACAAGTGGGTTCGGCCTGTAGAATCTGCACCCCAACCTCTATGTGTTTAATTTCCCTATCATTTCTTCTCCCTTCCCACCTTCTTATCAAACAAAGCGGCCCAATATAGTAAAACCAGAAACTATAGTGTCCAAGTTATTCCTGATATGCAATAATAACACTACAACTTAAAAACAAAATTTCCATTCCCATCATTCTGCAAAAAATTCCGTCCCTGAAATCACTCCCCTTTAGCCATATTCCTATTCTTTGTTCTTTGTATTTTCCTACACTAAGTCGTTTTGTGGAGGCCATTTATAACGTAACACTCAAACTTTGAACATCACATTTCGTTCAATGATACTGGAAAGATCCATTGTCATAACATCAATAAGCAGTTCAACAAAAAACTATATACAAAAACAGTTTATTTCACTTCCTTTATGGAGGTTGCATTTCACTTCAGTCTCCAGTGTCCATGGCAAATACAGCAGCTCCCTGTTTCAGTATCTTCATTGCTTGCGTAACTGCAAAATATGTATGGATCTAATTTTGACACTTGGTTCAGCAAAAGTACCGAACTATAAGTCGTCATGCTCAAACCGAGCCAGCTATGAATATAAAATAACAAACAATGGAGATCCCATTACTTCTTGACACTAATGGTAAACAACTACTTCATGATTCAACTGATAGCCTAATGCATGACAAAAATAGTAGCAGAATAGCCAACAAAAAGAAAAACATAAATCAGTTGTCAACTCAGAATGTCAGACGTCCCTTATTTGAGTATGCAATGAGTAGTTTAGCAGTTACCAATACAAAGTAAATCCCCACCCACAAAAAAAGAGGTAACACAATACACAGTGCTCTATTTTGGCCCGTGATATTCCCATTTGCAAGAATCAAGATACAATGTCATCACGTAGTTCATGGTCCGTCATCCTACTATCTATTTATTACATCTGTCTATCAAGTTAAACGGTACACACATTACACTGCAAGCATGCATACTACGAACTAAAACTAAATTTGACTCACTTCTAATAAGTTTGGGTTCACCATTTATCAAAACATGTTTAAGTTCAAAACAATGTTCTTCATATATGAAATACAGGATAGAACCACAAAGGTGTATCGTTACCGTAAATAACTACCCCTGGCATCACACCAATGTTGTCTGCCCGGAGGAATCTTGAGCAATCAGAACTTTTTCTAATTTCCCAACATACCATCGCCATATGGTTAATTGGCTATTTTAGTAAGAAACATCAGAAGATTCAAATCCTTTTATATTAATAATGTTATACACTTGACTGTTGTACTACAGTAATATGTACACAGCAAAAAAGCATGAGGTCCATACATTTTTGGAGAAAATGATCCGAGACAGCTTTATACATATGTTGAAACAGCGTTAGGCTTTGCCTTGGCATAAAGGGGAAAACATGAACCAAAACTAAAGCACAAAAATTGAAAAGAACAACTATGTCAGACCACATTTGGAATACTATCGTTTATTCAAAACAAATAACTACACAAATCAAATCGACAAAGAACTATGATTTCTAACCAGGAAAAAAGACCGACAAATCAATAGTTACAAACATTATTTATTCAAAAACCAGACACTCATGATGCACTAACTTAGCAACTTATTTTCCAAACAACTAAGGAGAAAATAGTTGAGCCATACCAAGGTTTGAGTCCCAGCACTACACATCGTTGATGAGGAGAATTTAACTCAGCAGCTTATAGGTTGAAATCTCTCAGAGTACACGGGGGAATGATAATCCGGCCTGGCTGGTATCTAGGGAATGCAACACCAAAGACTGGCTGCACACCATATTCTCCACCCCAAATTGGAGCAGGAGGCATTCTAAAAGGGTTGGGTGGGAAAAAAAAGTGTCTTGAAATCCCATGTCGTCGAAAAGGAACCCCTTGCGACCTCTTTTTTGTTTCCCAGGACACTGCAAACAAATCTTTGAAAAGCCACCCTCTAGTCTCTCCTTGCCCAAACTCCTCCAAATACTTCTTCTTCCACAACTCATTGCTGGTGGACAAGTATCGCAACTCTGAACAGGTGCAAGCTACTTTGGCCAAATCAACACCGGGAAGACGCTCCAAAATCAAGAGCTTAAGCTCCATCGGTAATCGCATGAAACAAGGTGGAAGATCCAATCCAGCCGTTTCACAAAGATCAATCAACAGTGGCAATGCAAGCCTATCTTTCACCATCTTCCACATTTCGAAAACTTCGTTCCCAAAGATAATCTCTTCCCCGTCATTAACACTGCCCTTAGATTCAGAATTTGCCAGCATCAACTCTAATGGCCTAACATATTTACGTCTATCCAGACAAACATAGTGCAACCTCGACCCAGTATCATCAGACAACGAACCACAAACATTCACAAAATGCCCCAATGTCTGAAATTTCAAATTCACACTATACGAAGCACCATTAACCAGAATTTCAGGCAGGGCATACCTCAACGATATCACAGAAGAAAACGCCGAAGGAGAATCATCAAGAAGGTGAAAACAACTAACCGCCATACCGGAGTCCTTGTCGATTCGAACAAACCCAGACTCAAGAATCACACCGTGGACCGTAAACACCAACAACTTGAAATCACTAACGTTGTTTCCCAGGGCTTCTTTTAGAACCCTTCTCACAAAGAAAGGTTCTGAATTGGTGCCCACCACCACCGCCTCGTCAGATCCATCAATCATTTCGACGGTTTCCACCTCCGCTGAATCCAAAGTCGGATGCTTTTCCACGGTGGGGTTCGAGGGGGCGTCGCAGGCGAGGGTTTCTGGGGAGTTTTGGATGGTGGGTCGGTCGCGGGAAGCAGTCTCTGGCTTGTGGGGGAGGGTTTCGTGGGAGAAGGCGGTGGGGTTGAGAGAGTAGAAGACGAGGTCCCCGGCGGCGACGCCAAGGGAGTGAAGAGAGTCGTTCGGCGAAGAGGCGCGAATTTCGTCCTTTCTGTTGAGGGAAAGGTGCAGAGAAGAGGAAGAAGAAGAGATGGTGTGAGAAACGGTATCAATGAGTTGCTGCAGAGAACATGAATTAGGGACTTCGATTTTTAGGGTTTCTTTAGATTCCAAGGATCTGAGTCTCAGTTTCATCGTATTTGATTCTGTGTCGGCTTCTCCTTTCTGCCTCAGTTCTTGTTTGATGGGAAGACTGATAAACGTTTTGTGTCTCGCAGTACTTCAATTCGTTGACGGATCGATTATAGCTATCCCCTTGCTTTGCATGTGTGAGCCTGGAAACTTAACAAACACGAAATAAAACAATTTTATTATATAATAATATTTGTTTTTAAGTAAATTATTAAATTACAATTGGTCAAATATGTTTCCCTTCGCAATAAATTTTAGAATATTAGTTTTTTCAAAAATTTAAACATATAGTTTTAAAAAACATATTTAAATTTTAAAGGAACAAAAATAATGTAACTTTTAAAGATATATATTTAATATATTTAAATTCTTATACTAACAAAACCCGCATTTCATCCTTAATAATGTTAGTTCGTTTGATTTTTAATCGGTTGATTTTTTTTAATTTAAGTGTCTTATTTCATATGATTATATTTTTTTTCTTCCTGAAAATGAGGCATTTAAATACAAAGTAAATTTTAATTAAAATTCATGAGGAAGTTGAACATTAATCAACCACCAATTTTGCCTTTTGAATCAATTTCTTCAACTAAGCTTGTGTGTTCCAGTGACAGTAAGATCTTTATAACATATCCGTAAAGACAAGTCAGTTTCATCAACCCTCGCATGATCGTCTTCATTAATTTGACCATATTTATCATGTGATGTTCTTCTATGTATAAAATGACGATGATTGGAAAAAATTATATACTATATGTTATATATTTAATACTTACAACATAAGGAGAGGATGTATCTTTTACTCGTTTGAAATTAAAATTAGAAAAAAAAAATGTGCTTTTAGTCATACGTTTTCAATATCAAAATATTTATAAATTATATTGATGAATTTAATCTTTAAATTTAAAATAAACCCGTTCATGTAGGTTTTTTCTAACTTAAAAAAAAACATGATGAATTTTTAGAAATAAAAAAATAGACTATTATTTTCAAATATTTAATTAAGTTTAAGCTCTCGTAAGTTAAACGTGAACTTCTATTAAAAAAAAGGGTCTATGTCATTGTATCTTGTCATTTATTTATTTGTGATTAAAACAACAGAAAATATGTAAATTTTATGGTTAATGTAAAATTGATATTATTGTTATTTTCAAATAGTAAATGACTTTTATTGTTTTCATTAAAAATTAGTTATATAATAAGATTGTTATATTTTTTTATATATATATTTTCACATAATCGTCTATAACTATAAACGGGCCTTCATAGTTTCACATTGTTCACAATACCATTTTATACTAATCATATAATTTAATATTTCCTAATATACAAAAATAAGAAAATAAAATAATGGAATAATATAACAATCACATCAATTTGTTAATACGAGAGTTAAATTATAGATTTTCAATATATGATTGATAATGCCAAATAGTCCATTCTCTTTTAGTCCACCATCATGTAGGTCCACATAAGAAAAACTTTAAAAAAAATACATACAAATAGTGCATCAATTAATTTTAATATTTCACTTTCTCTATGTGTGAGTTTCTCATTATCAATCAGATTGAAATAAGTTAAAGTAAATACAGTATTAACATTTACATTAAATAAATATATCAAAGTCAAACATTTTACCAAAAAAAAACACAAAAATAAACGGTTCACGAAAATGGTTATTTTATAACATATAAACACAATTTCAAAGTCAATTCACCCACGAACATGGTCAATATATTTACAAATTATACACATAAATTCGATGTCTAATGTGACTTATACACTCATTCAAACTCCCAAGATCCAAAGTTTATGTTCATATCTAACTTAATAAGCATATTAAAAAGTACAACACAATAAAACTCTTTAAATTCTTTTTATTATGGAATCGTCCAACCTACACCTATTTGGATCATATTCACATATTATAATTAAATCTCAATAGTTTTGTATGTTGATTATTATTTATATTCTGTTTTTATTTATAATATCATTGGTATTTTTTATGGAATGTTTGTTTCATAATACTTACTTTCATTTATAGATCATAATACAAAATTAACCATCAAATCATGGTTAAAATTTTATCACTTATCCATAAATTTTTGTTCAATAACCAAATAATAACAATCCTCATTAAATAAAAAGTATACTTATAATTGTCTATTTACTGTTTGAAGTATTAATTATTATTTTTTTATATATAAAAAACATGGTTTAAATACTTATTTCGTGTTCATGTTAAGAGGTGAATTTTTGTTTTGTACCCGGTTTTAAAAATGAAGACATTAAGTCCTTATGTTATGAAAATTGTATGACTAAGTCCTATATGTTAAGTTCAGAGTAAGAGCGTTAATTTCATGGTGATGTGACATAATTTTTATCTTCTCTCCTTTGCTGCAGCTTTTTCTCTCTCCTGACCATTTTTTCTTTCGAGGAAGCTTGTTTCACTGTCTCCAAGGAGCTTGTGAGCATTTGAACTACTTGTTTGAATGATTGCAGTGGAATAAAACATAACATCTTCTTCTAAGTTGACTGTAATGTATTTATTTTTCCTATCTCTGAATCAATCATTAAAATAAAATTTGTAACATAAGAGGGTTTGATATATTCTAAGTCTTTGGTCAGTTTGAAACTTTTTCATTATCTTCAGAAAAAATTATCAACAATGAAAAATATAACTTATTTAAAATTTATAAATTAAATTAAACATATAAAAGTAAAAAGACAACTACTAATCGATGCATCATAAATATTTTCTTTACCAAAATCAGACACAGAGCGACAAGAATGCTTTTATTTAAATTTTATTAAATTGAAGTAAAATACAAGGGCCGTTAATGCTCACAAATTTGTTTTGAAATTAAGTAAATTCAATTTCAACATATCAAATATAGTTTATATATGATAAAAAAAAACAGTTTCACAATTCCTGCAATAAATTGTGCTATAACCAGACAAATTAACTCTGAAAATTTGTTTTAACGTAGATATAACATTAAACATAATTTAATATAAATGTATAATTTACCATAAAAGTCTTTCTACTACTATTAAATGTTCCTTTGTTGTCAAATGTAATAAAATATGTTAATGTTTAATGAATTTAAATCAATTTAACATTATCATTTCAAAAAATATTTATAAACGGAAGTTTGAACATGAGCTTCAATAAAACTAAAACTATAGGATACAGGAAAGGATATATAATTTTGATGGGTGCAATAAAAAAAGCAATAAATGAATTTAATAATAGTCTTAATGAATATAAAATAAAATAGTTTTGTTTGGTGAATTTGAAATTTAGAAGAAAAGGAAATTAGAAAAAGAAGACGATAATATGCAAATGAATACACAGAGGTGAGAGAAGATAAAAAGCTCGCCAGGAGAGAGAGAAAAAGCTGGAGCAAAGGAGAGAGAAAATACAAATTATGCCACATCACCATAGAATTAACGTTGTTACTTTGAACTTAACAACTTAACGGACAAAAACTTAATCATACAATTTTTATAACATAAGGACTTATTGTCTTTATTTTTAAAACCGGGTACAAAACAAAAATTCATCTATTAATATGGGAACGAAATAAGTATTTAAACAAAAAAAGATCATGTATTATAAAGTATTTTATGTCAAATCATATGCTACAATACTAAATATTAAAAAATAAATTGTAAATGTATAAATATTAAACAATAGAATCAAATAACAATTACATAAATATAATGATAAAAAACAATATAAGTCATCACATACTTGTCTTAGAAATAAGTTATAAAATTGAAGACAAAAGAAAATTAATATAAATATTTTAAATTACCTAATTATTTACATTTTATTCACTTGAATGAATTTGTGAAAGAGTGATTGAATGAATTTGAGATAATTTGAAGGTAAATTTTTTATTATTTATTTGAGTGTATTTGGAGGTAAATGAGGTAAAATGATTTGATTTGTCAATCTTAATCCAAACAATAATATATTTTAAAATTATTTTTTACAAACGAATGATTTAAGCCATAAAAAATTCAAATTCAAAGAAATTAATATATTTCAACCAAAACATAATTATTTAACAAGACAAACGCAATAAACAACGGTCAGTCCAAATCTTTTAGTGAATTTATTAGTATTAATAATATTAATTTAGTTTTAATTATAGCGCATTAAAATTAGTGTCCACAAAGTTTCCAACATAAAATCTAAATTCCAACAAGAAGAAAACAAGGATGTGTTTCTTTAATGAGTTTTTTTGTTTTTTCAATCTTTTGAGATCTTCTTCGCTAAGAATTTCAAAGAGGACGAGGAGAAGTGACTTACATGGAATGACAACAAAACGCATAAAATTTATCAATGCAAATAATATATACGGATGATTTAATCCTATTTCTTTTAGGTTGAGACTACATCAATTTCTTACTAACACATTAAATATCGCTAATTCGTACATAAGATTAAAAATATTATTTCACATTCTTTTTTACTTATTTATCTGACTATATATCTTAAGTATTATTTATTATTATATTTGATATATATTATTATGTAAAATGAATTGTTATTATTTTTAGAATATCTTGCAGTATTATTTGCTTAAAAATTAAGCTAAATATAACTTAGCAATTAACGGCAACTTAAATTAAACCTTATAATTTATATATATCTCTTATAAAAAAATAAACTTATTTATTATTTTTATTATTATTAGTACTATTATAAGATTAAATATAAATAGTTTACATAACTTTATTGAAAATATTTTATTTATTTGTAGGTTTTATAATTAAAAAATAAAAAACAAACAAACTACAGGTACAGTTAAATTTAAATAACACATTCACTTAAAAGTTAAATTTGGTAAAATAATTATTTTAATTTTAAAAAATTATCTAAAAAATAAATTTAATAAATAAATATAGACATCAAATAAATAAATATTCTTTATATATGTATACAGAAATAATATAATCACATATTATTGTTTACACTTTTTTAAAAGATATGCTCGATCAATCAAGTTAAAATCAAAGAGCTACTGACTTGGTAGTCGTTTAATGATGGCTTAATAACCTATTTTGTCCCTAGTTGTGCTCGGTTGTGTCAATTTGGTCATTGATTTTAAAAAAGTGTTTAG